GTAGTCTAGTGTGTCCGTGTGTGCGCTTTGTTTTTGTTGATTTTGCGTTCCTGCATCAGACGATATTTGCGTGCTGATCGCTGTTCATGACCAAGTCAAGCGGCCTATGGCGGCAAAGATCTGCGTAATTGTCTTGTTTCATAAATTTTCCTCTTTTTTTTTTTTCAAAACGTTTCCATAAATTTCAGCATGTGTGTGTGTGCCTTCTTAAAATGGAATTGGAATTGAGCATTCCAAGTTCAATATGAATATGAATGCTCAGCATGTTTTTCATTTTGGCGACAACACAGAGACAACAAAAAGTGTCTCACACAACTAACTGAATGCTGGAAGTAAATATACTATGTATGAAGTGCTTCCAAATTGAATCGATATGAAAGCAAATTTACTTTCAAAATAGTAAAGAATTTTGTTGAGCAATTGTAATTTGAATTTGGGCTCAGCTAGTGAGACATACATATGTCTGGCAGCTCTATTAAGGGAGACTGCTTGATTTGGAGACAAAATCTAAATTAACTCTTGATAAATATTGTATAATTCAAATTGATTTTCTATTGTCCGTTATATATATATATATATATATATATATATATATAAAATGTGTTTTGTAAATATACGAAAGACTTAAAGTATTCCTATGCAAACTTGATAAATTGATCGTAGATCATTTCGGAGTATTCCAAATCAAATAAGATTTAATAGAACATTATTTGTGGAATTTCAAAAGGAATTTAAGTGGGATGAATTAGATACAGCCCTACAGTAGAGGTTCCACTTTGAAGTTGGAAGTATAGGAAAAAAATCGAAATTTCCTAATTAAGCAAAATTTACGTATTCCGAATATGCAAGTCAATAGCGGATTAGCTACTAAGTAATTTCGGAATTGCACAATTTATTCACTATAACTTCTCAGGGCGCTTTGAATTAGTCTGAATCGAGTAATATTTAGTATTACGTAGTCTTAACAATCCTAAAAGGAGTTGCGGAGTAATTTAGATTAGTATGTATTTTCTAGTTGGCAGTCTTAACATATACAAGATTGATTTTCCGAATAAGACACGAAGTGATTTCGGAAATCCACAATTTATTTGATCTCAAAGCATTTCAAAGTAGCTCGAGCCGAGGAGCAACTCCTATTAAATCATAACACTGAAATTCCAAGTATATATTTATAGGCCCACAGCAGATCAGTAGATGCAATTTCGTAAGTGCATAGCTTATTCGAACTCATTAATTGCCATTGCAGTCCCAGCGGGCAGTTGCTGTGCCGAAAACAAAAGCAATGTGTACGAATTCTACTCAAGTTCAGTGCCATAAATAATGACGGGGTGGGGGTGGGCGAGCAAGAGAAGAAGAAAGATTCGGAATAGCAGAGAGCTGTTTATGTTTATCCACTGTCAGCTGTCAACGCCAGGGCAAACATTTCCCGGTAATGTCGAGCAGCTGACAGTGGCTGTCAACCTCAACCTCAACCCTCGTGACCGGGGCATTCTATTGTATGTGGTGTAGCTGTAGCTGGTGTGTCCTTTGACTGACACCCATTACACCCCAATACCGCATCTTCCCTCTCCCGCTGCTGCCTGACCTTGTATGAACAACAGACTTGGAGCAGCAACAGCAGCAGAGACAACCAAAATTTTCCGAATTACACTCGAGGTATCTCCGCCTTTTTGGATCTTAACAAGTTGTACAATATTTGCATAGATCAAGATATTGCGAGATTCTTGTACATACTCGGTAGTATACTTTATATGGGGGCCCCAGCTTGAGGGCTGACGTCAGTCCAATATACACAATTGTGATCGTATATGTTTTATGACGCTGCGGCTTATATTTTGTTGATGTTGTTTTGTGGCTTGTGCCACTGATGAGTTATGGTCCAGACGATTGCTGGCTGGCATAAAAATTAAAGCAAATCTCCTCAACGTATACGCATTTAAATGAGAGTTCGGCAAGCCACGTGCAGCTCTGACTGGCCGACGACTACCTGCGCAGTCAGCTGAAAAGTAGGCAGCGATACCTTGAGCCCCCATTGGTTCGATGAATCGATCATCGAAATGATCGTCTACTGATCTTGAGCATATTCATATATTTGATTTCCCCAGCTGGGGGACTTACAGCATATCTCGCTTAAGCTCTTTATTGATGTTGTTTTGCACATCACGGTCCATGCTAGTAGAGGGCAGAAGATGAAGAAGTAAAAAAATTGTCTATCTGATGTTTTACGATCTGTCATTTAATGATCACAAGGTGATAATAGCCCCAAATCCACTTATAAAGTAAAGCGTTATTATTCTCATTTGGGTGCACACTGACGCACAAACGTCACGCGTATCAAATTGCGTTGTCATGTTTGGCATTGGTAAAGTGTAAACTGGAGTTGGAACTTGGAACTAATCCGTTCTAAGTACTTGATAAGCGCTTTCAATTGAATTGTGATTTTTGAAAATGTTGATTCGTGGAATATTTGGTGGATAATTGGGGCTAGACTGTGATCAAATGTACACAAGAGTGTATATATTTGATATAACAAATGAACTAGTTCTTTTTTGGCAAGAGTTTTGCAGTGTTTGCAGCTGAATACATGTGAATTATGTAAATTATTGATTTGAATTAAAATTGTTATGTCATGATATATAATATGTGCCAAAAGAACCAGTTCTTTTGGTAAAGATAGTGAACTGCTGCATATACAGAAATTAAGTTAAATATTCATATGAATCATAACTGCGACATTATGCATCAAAATTTCCGAATGAAATAATGAACTAGAACTAGAATTGGAACTAGAGCTGCAAACTTTTGCAATTAGTCATTGGGAATTCATCAAGTACGAGTGCACTCTCAAGAAAAAATTAAGGCATGACAATGCCGTAGGGTAAAATGGGGAAATAGCAAACTGGAACTGGAACAGACAAATGGGAACCGGCAACTGGGAACTGAAGCTGCTGTTAAGTGAACTCAATCAAACTGAGACTGCGCTATTAATCGTGCATGCTCAATATCAATTAAAGACAAGGCGAATCTAGATGAATACGCTCACGAATGCCAGCGTGAATATACGTACAAATGTTATTGCAAGATGTGTGAATGTATTTGGAATATGTATGAGTACATTCGTATGCGAAGACTCAGACACGGACAGACTCCGGTCAATGCAGCGAACGTGCCAGCCAATTTGTGACTCAATTCTGTTGCTGTTGTTCGTTTTCGGGCGCGATGACTAATTCAGTTGGGCTTAAGCAGAAATCAATTCCCATAGCATCCGCGGAGCCTACCGTCAGCCGGTCGTTGCCAGCCCAAGAGAGATGCCCACATGCTGCAAAATGCGGCGCCAACTGGTTGAAACTGATGTCAATCAAGCCACGAACCCTTCGACAGCCACATCGGTTTTAACGTTGATGACATTGTTATGCGCCAATTGTCGCATAGGGCCGATGTATATATACATATATGCGTATCAAATTAAGTGACCGTATGAGGTACTGGAACTGTGAATGGGACTGGGAACGGGAATGGAACTGGGACTGAGACTGAGACTGAGACTGACACTGAGACTGAAACTGAGACTGGGAATGTTGATAAACTCAAATCAAGTGTGTAACAGGTTTGAAGCGCCCGAGAGACAGTCAGACAGAACACAACGCAAAAAATGATCAACATAACTATATGCGTCTAATAGATACGCATTATTAATAAAAAGTCCAAATATGCAGGCATAATTCAAGTAAATTGAATTTGAACTCTGTGCATAATATAATTAAACATTGTTGTTACATTCTTAAGCTCTCTCAGCATTATTATGTAAATTGATATGGATCATAGATTATTATAATTATGAAATATGAGCAATGGAGCTCTTTCTTAGTAACATAATATTGTACAGCATTTGTGTACATTTCTATCCATGACATTTAATTTTTGTTGCTGGAACTCTATTGGAATAGTGAATTCTATATGTTATAAAATATAATAATATAGTTTATTTTTTATTATAATTGTTGCGTTAAAATTGACCTGGCTTACATCAAATATTTAATACTTATTTAATATTTAATTATTATTGCTAATCAAGGATAAAATCATGATATTTCAACAGGAAAATTAGTAAAAATTCCCTGTGAAAATTGCACTCAATAACTGCTACGCTTACTTGACCTATATATAACATTCTCAGATCAATTCAAGCTAGGTAATGAATGAATTCAGTATTCAAGCAATCGAGTGAAGTGTCTTTGAACATAAAATATATTGAGTACTCAAATATGAACTACATAATATTGAAAACGGCATGAAGATCTGAACAAATTTTTTAAGATGAGAAAAAAGATGGTGAGCTATAATAATTGCATATTCCATATAGCCTTAGATGCCAATGTATTTAAGTAAAATATATAAGTTTTTATATAAATAAATAATTACTTATGATTTTAGTAAAAAAGAACAAAAATATTAGTATTTCAAAGAAAAGCTGTAAGCATGTAATTAGGAAGGCTTCTTATTGGAATATAGAGTACAACTAGTTCTCAATATAATGCTCAAAGAAAAATTGGACTATATTCAATTGAGAATGCTCAAACTTTGGGAATGTTCAAACCCTTTCTCAATAATCGCTGGCAGACGTGCAGGTTCATTTGGAACCAGTTCACGTTCAATATACTCCAAATCAAATTGTATGCCGCAGTATAACTTGACTATAAACAAATGCCAACAGCAGCAACAATAAAATAATCACAATTGTCACATGCGCTGGAGCTTGTTTTTTCCTCATTTTTTTTTTTTTTTTTTTTTTTTTTTTTTTGTATAAGTTTGTTTGTCTGTCTATATCTGTATAACTGTATATACATATACATATATGTAAATAAATATATATATATATATTTGTATATGTGAGTAATTTGCTTTGTTTTCGCATTATGCAAATAAGACTTAGCATATTTATTATTATTAGTATTCTTTTTTTTTTTTTTTTTTTTGTTGCTCTCGCATTCGCGCATCGTGCGCTAGTTGAGCTTAGAGATTTGATTTAAAATGTTTACGGCTCGTTTTGTTTATCTGGAGGGCTCATCTAATTCCGTATCTAAATTCGGTATCTATATCTTCCATCTGATACAAATTGTGCAGCGCGCACGCAGTTCACTGTGTAAGCATTATACAGTCGGCTACTGGTTAAACAGACACGAGTCTGTCGACGTACTGCGCTGCAGGGCCCATAAAGATCCATACTAAAAATATTACAGTGCCTGCGATAAAGCGAACCTTGAACGTCGCCACTGCACTTGACAAGTATGCAGACGAGAGATTGTAAATGTAATTGCAAGTGTAATACGCGTGTGCTGCTATTATTTATTTTATTTCTCTGTGTATTTATTTATTTTTATTTTACTTTTTTTTCGTTTCACATTAAATAAGTTTTTACAACGTTTACTCTGCTCGAGCAAGTCGCTGCATGGCACAGTTGCAAATGGATACAAAGTGCACGACGCCACAGCCAGGTGAACCAGGATTTGCGCAGTGTTCAATTTAACAGAGAAATGTCGCCGATTCCAATTGGACAATCCGTCAAGCAGTGTAGGAATTAGTTGCTAAGCCCTAAGGCAGTTGCAGTGGCAAGCAGTTCAGGATACCAATTCAGATTCATCTGCAAGCAGTTCACATAAATTCGATCTTCTATGGCAAATGCTTCTGCATCTGCAGTGCTCCATAAGTTGACTTAAATAATAACAACTCTCCAATTGGATGCAATGATGCGATGCTAATACAACTGTTGAATAATAATATACTTTATACATTATGAATTCCAATTGAATGCATTAAGAAGCAACTGAATAGTTTGTCACATTGTTGAATCAAAGACTTCAGGACTCAGACTCAATTGGAACCGCTCAAATTCATGTTAATCATAAATGCATTGCACTGCATATTTATGAGCGTGCAGCCTTTTATAAATATATATTCATTTGATTGCATTGGCAAGTAATTCAGGAAACATCACGTATCTATACCAGTTTGAAGCAATTGCAAGCAGTTAAAAAAACTGCACATCGAAGCAAATTTTCTATGCAGCCTCAACGATATTATGTTTTTCATTCAAAACGATGAACAGTTGCATCTGGTGTGGATCGACAACAGCGACGATTACAGAGAAATTTTAAGTAACTGCAAGAGAGTTCTGTTAAGTCTTAACAGCTTCGTGTTATTACAATTACTTGCGATCAAGGACAAGCAATGCAAAAAGCTGAGCCTTTGGCAGGCGGTATTGCTTAAAATCGTAACAGTTCAGGGTTACATTTCCGTTAACCGCTATGCAAACACAAACACGTAATGTCGGCTGCTTCGGCCAGTGTATTTGCTTGACATTGCGTGCAGTGAAATAATAAGTAAATATCTCAAACTGAGCCCATGTGCAATGAGGTCTATTAATAACTTTATTTGGTTTGCTTGTTGGCATCGCCGAATTGCTCTTTGTTCTGCATGTGTGTATTATTGCAGTCTTAACAGTAAATTAACATTGACAGTATATTGCATACTATATGTGTTACGCCCTATATTAACTATGCGAAACTGATTTCATAAACAATTTCAGGATCAGGATATCAGATCCAATGTTCGTCTATCAAAAAAAAAAAATGAATGAGCGTAGTTCAAAGCGACTGATTGAAAAGAATATACATGTTTGTGTATCCACTTCATCAGTGGGGCATTAAGTGCTCATCAAGCCGTCGGGTTAGCTGCTGGCCAAATTCATAAACATAAACAAATTCGCAGTTGGGCCACAGCGCATTTTGATGATGTGCCGGGAGAATAATAACATAACATGGGGGCTGAACCTGAGTCGTTTGGAATTCCTCTGGATCTCTGGTCTCTGTAATTATGCAGTTAATTGCACAATTAACACAGCGTGGCGGAGGCGGGACGCCGCGCCAACTGTGTACAATGTCATGGCCATAGGGCGTTCCAGGGTCCCTCTTATATAGCGCACAAATTGAGTGTCAATTGAGCCCATCGGACGAAGCGAAAAAAGGCGGCTAAAATGCTCTGGTCTATGCTCATTTATGTAACATGTATGTTAATAATAGAACAATTGCGAATTCAAATTATGATTTATATATTTCACTAGTTATATTTCAGCTCAGCATCAACAACCAGAATCTGTCCGCATGTCTGTCCCAGAAGCCAATTCGTTCTGGCCCTATCATTCGGACTGCTTGTCTATTCACCTGTTATTGCAAACGATTCGATCTAGCCCTGTCTGCAGCAGACAAGTCGATTAAGCGCAGCGTTCATTTTTCTGTCCGTGCGTCCATTCGTTTGTACGTCCGTATAAACATTCTGTTGTCTATGCGTTCAAAAACTATATCAAGTCGAGGAACGAGTTTGCTTATCGATTAAGATGTTTAGCATCGATAAGTACTTTCAATTTTCATTAAATCGATAATAATCGATATGTGGAGTTAAACAAAGATTAGTTTTCTGCTTCAGCTACCACAAATTACTTATTTAAAGTCCTCTTTTGCTCAACTTTCTGTGCTTCTGTGGGGTATCTTCTAGTCATACGAGCGAAATTTCGCTTTTTGGTTCCATATGACTGAGCCAGTGCGAACCAAAGCGAAGCGGTTCGCAGCGCAATGGAACGAGCGGATATAAAATAAGTATGACGACAACGGTGCGTATACGTGTTGCCAATAAACGCAACAGGGTGCTAGCTAGCATAGATGGTCAAGATCGAGAGAGAGAGAGAGAGAGAGAGAGAGAGAGAGCGCCCACATTTCATATTGGGCGTAACGTTTGGCCAAGCGAAAAGCATAAATAAATAAGGAAAGTGACAAACAGCATTGAACTTGACAGAATTCGAGCAAGCGGAATTTTCGCAAAGCGGAATTTTCGCATATTGAGAAATGTGAAAAGAGCAAAAAAGTGGGGGGAAAACAAATACCGTTGCCGCTGTCATGTGGAGGACATTTCAATTGCACAATATCTCTGGCGCTAATGATGAATGCTGCTCTCCATCAAATGCATTTGCCACGCCCTGCTCTCTAGCAGCCCCTTCTCCAACTAGCGTCCCGCTCCCACGCCCGTTGTAAGCAAATATTTTGAAACGAAATAACTGAATTTATAGAACAATTAATTTATCGTTTTCAAATGCGCACTAAACCGATTTAATTGCATGCGAGGCGGCGCCGGCGGGCCGGCGGACCAAGGGGCGTGGCTGTAGCTATGGCATTATTTTTTATGCATTTTTATGTAAAGCAACTCGCTCAAGCTCGCAAATTACTTCGCATATTATTCGATGCGATGCATCATCCGATTGGAGAGTTATCAGTGCGACTACAACATACCCTGTAAGTGCGTATATATTTGTATATAGATATATACTACTCATTGCTACTAATAAAATATTATATTACAATCTGTATTAAGATGATAGCTTTGATGTTTTGCTTATACTGTACTAATATTATATAATAATATATCAACCCCTGAACATAGACTAAAATACTAAAAATACTGGAAAAGTTAAAAATTGTATTTTTAGGCATAATCATGGTTTTTACGCAACATCTCCAATGTCAATACAATCGAGTTGAGGGACATACGAAGCTGTGATCTTTGCTCATGACAATAGAGATAAGTTATTTGTATGAAATATTTAATGGTAAGAATATTCTTTTAAGAAGATAAGAATTTGAAATAAAAGGCTTTGCTTTTCAGAGTGTCAATCAGTTCAGCAAAAAGCGCGGAAACTCAAGTACCGTAGCACCGCCTAGCTGTAGCTTGTTCGTATTATCCTTGCAACCTCTCTGAGTGTCCCCCACCAGCGGTAAGATACTCAGAGAAAGAGAGCGGCAGAGAGCACAGACTATATCTATATTTCTCTTGTATGATTATAAATTAATTAGCTAGCGAAGAGTCCTCGAAGCAAACAAAGATGTATTTTCCTTTTTGGGACCATATACGAGTTTTCTCTTTCATAAGTCTATTCCGCTTTCACTTCAGAGTGCTTAAGTTCAAAATGCAGTCTTTTACATCACTTACAGGGTATTCACTAAAAACACAATCTTACTTAATAACCCTATTAATAATAAGGGGGTTATTCCCTGCGCAAGACACGTGCAATATTTCTAGTATCTTGAGAAGCACACAACGTAAACAAACAAAAAAGTACTTTAAGTAGATTAAATTACGTTATTTGCGGAAATGATTATAATATGATTGATCGATTGGCGTAGTTAGATAAAATGCCTACAAATACATTCGTTCTTAGAAAATGCGATTTAAGAGTAAATTGATAATTGTAAATATAGAAACCAGAATGAAATATTTTCTTACGATTCGAAACTCACCTGCAGAATTTCTTTTGATACGGCCAATGTCGCGTTAGCTGCTTTCTATCTTTGTTATTGTTCGTATTGTTTCTATGACAACCTTCGCGTTGCTCTGCTCTGTTGCTATTGGAATTGTGCCTCAATGTTGCTTCCATTCAAATGTTGTGCAAAGATTTTTGGTAATGCGATGAATTCTTTGCTAAATCTTGCTTGACTTGGGGCGTTTTCAGTTCCGCTCTGATTGGCAGGCAGTCCTAGCAAATGGAGATCGTAATTTACTAGGCGAAGTTATATATAGATAAATAGTTCTTAAATAATCCTATGTGATATGTGTACATACATATATGCTATCATTGTATGGAAATAATATAAACATATTTTGTACTATGTATATAATTTAAATGGAGTGGATTACAAAATGCAATGATTTAAGATACACTAAAAAAATACAGATACAGCTGATGGATAAGGTTATAAGATACAGATACAACTAAAAGATACAATTAATAAATGCAGATACGATTGAAAGATACAACTAAAAGATATAGATACACCAAAAAGATACACTCTAAAGATACAGAGACGGCTGAAAGATACAGATAGAGCAAGCAGATACAGTTAAAAGATACATATTTGAATGCATCTGTATCTTTTAGCTGTAACTGTATCTTTTATATATACAGGTATCTTTTAAAAGTATCAATACCTGCTGTATCTCTTGGGTGTATTTGTATCTTTTATCATTTAACTGTATCGATTAGGTGTATCTATATCTTTTAACCGTATCCTTCAACTGTATCTTCTAACTGTAAGCGTATCTTACAGGATGCAGATCCACATAAGTGATGCAGCTAGATATACCTGAAAGATACAGATACAGATGAAAGATACAGGCACCAGGAAAAGGTTTAACGAGGCTCTACAAAACACTAAATTCGAATTTGAAGAGCTTCTATATGTTTTCACATTGGATCATTAACTTGTTTCTGGAGTTTTGGTAAACTAGACTACATATGATTGTTGATGCAACTATTACGTATTTGAAATTATATTGTCTCTGTATTATCACTGACTGCAACTATTCCTATTTTAATGCGATTGTTAAGAAGGTGTTATGCGTAGGTTTATTTGACATTCTTATAGATCGACCTAGCACTTGGAAAGAGATCATCAGACTTAATGAATGCAATGAAAAGTCACAAAATTCATTAAATTTAGATACAGTAAGGCGTCATATTTGGGTACAAAGCCTAACGATGCAAAATTACATTTTCTAAGAGATAAATCAAATTACAGTAAATTCATGACGGGATCAAAATTTATGGAATTTTTACGAATTCATTAACTGTTTTCTAGGGGATAAACTATCGCGATTCCCAAGTATTTATCTACTTGCATATAAATAAATCAATTAATAAATAATAATTAGATTAAGAAAAAGTTTCCATTAAACAGTATATTAATTAAATCTCCGCCTTTTAGACTTATTCTGACTTTAGCTGTGATGAGTGCATTTAGAGAATCGAGTTGATTAATTTTCAATGGGAACTACCAAAGCTGCAAGGAATTATGCATTTGAGATAGTAGCGGGCGGCATTGATTATTGAGGCAGCCATGCAACATAAGCAAACGGGCAGAGGGAGGTGTCGTTTATCCTATAAGCGTCATATGTATGTATACATATGTGTATATAAATATGGACCATCCGTCAGTGTGTGTGAACGCGCTGAGCTCAGAACTTTTAACTCGAGTCCGATCTCCCAGAACTCGATAAGTTTCATTAAAGGGCGGGCATATTAACCTATCAAAAATCAGCTGAAAATTATAACTCGGAAGCCTTTAGACTTAGAGTCTACATTGCATATAAATCTATATGAATTTTAAATAATTTCGATTTTTGTTCTTTTTTGGATATTGGCATCAAATCTGGTCCCTGCCCTTAAAATTTGTACTGAACGTATATCGAATTTTAGAGTTTTGTGTATTGGCACACATGCTCACAGACATACATATATGTCGGGGCGTTGTGTTTCTCGTTCATGTTTTCCTAACGAATTCCCGGTGTATCGCTAAACTCTTTTTAAATGCTCTTTCTCGTTCAATAGTCTTTAACCAAGTGTGATTTCTCTTCTACTCGAAAACTCTAATAATGGTCGCATATTCTTCTTCATCGAAATCACAGCGACCCTGCTGCGAACGACATAACTAGCCGTCTCGCTCTCACCCAGCGACACCCGGGATCACATTCAGCAACAGCTATTGTTGTCTCTCTCTTAGTGACAGTCCTCGCATCCTTTATTTGCACTATAATACTAAATCAATCGATTAACACGAATTGCCAGTCTTTCTCAACACTACTGCATCAATAAATCAAATTGCAACTTCAACAACAGTCTAATATCGCACTGATACGCTAGATATATTATTACCCAGTTCTCCAATTTGGATAATGTTAGTCCATCTACAAGACAACTTATTCAACACATAGGTTCCGATAAAATCATAGCTCAAATTTTGGACAAAGCGGAGTCGCAGCCTCAGCAGAGCGCATGTTTATAAGCACGTGAGTGGATATGTGTATGAGTGTGTGCGTGTGTGTTGCTCCTTATGTATGCAGAAAAGAAGCATCTTAGTTGATCTCTTAGAGATAGAGGCTTCACCTAATTACTTGACTGAAACTGAATGATTAGGCAATGCAACATAGACTTTTGTATGTATATGGTCTTATAGTCTTATAAAAACATCAAAACAATATTTAAGAAGAGAACAAAACTTGAACATTTTCTGAGAATCAAGTAAACATTTTTTCGCACGCTTTTCGATGCTCGTGATGTGTGTGCTCTACGCTTTATTTGCCCAATTTGAATGAGAATGAGAATGAGAACATATTTGAGCATATGCGTATATATATATACACATACATACTATCGATCTGGGCATGAGTCTAGTGTATATACGCGACATGTCCAAAAGCAATGTACAGTCCTATATGTACAGTCCCTATATAGCATAGAGCCAATATAAACACTGCGGCAGCACGTGAGGATTTTTTTCTTTTTTTGCTGTGTTGTGCTATGCCAAGAAAATTGCAATTTGATGGATAGTGGGTCAACGGAACGAATGGAAACAAAAACGCACGAGACACGAGCACGAGCAGAAGCACGAGAGTTTGGAACAAAGCATATGCCGAATTTCCTTATCGAATGTAGAGCAAAATGGGAAGCTGAGAGTGTATTGGCGTTTAGGATTTTTCCATTCGCAGCACAACAGAATAAAAGTGCTAAGGAGAAAGAGTGACAGAGAAAGGTAGACAGTGAGTGAGTGAGAGAGACGAAGAGGGATCGAGGGTGCGTAGCAAGAACTTTTGTTAAAATTCTTTCAATTTAAACGAATTTGTTGATTTTTATACATATGCTGCAAGCACACATACATATATGAATATATGTGTGTGTACGGCATAGTATCTCAATTTTTATTTCTTTTCCTATATATACATATGTTGGCGTTGCGAGAAATCTGTTGTTGTTGTTGAGTTTTATTGGGCTCTTAACTTTGAATACTCTCGCATGACCTACACGAAAATGATGCTTTGCTGTGATGCCTTTCAATCTATCAGCACACATCGATCTCTCAATCTCTCAATCTCTCAATCTCTCTCTCTCCCTCTCTCTCTCTCTCTCTCTCTCTCTCTCTCTCTCTCTCTCTCTCTCTCTGTTGCTCTCTCATTACCAGTGTTGCCAGATTAGCTATTTAATAGCATTTTTAGCTATTTTTGAACCCTAAATGCTATGAAAATTTTGAAAATGCTATTAGCTATATATTTAGCTATTTTACAAACGAATATTTTGAATTTGATTTTAGTATTAAATTTTTCGATTAAGTCCCAAATTGTACGTAATGATCTGCGCGATACTACCACCACGACTTTATCGTGCTTATAGCATCACTAGTTGTGAATTTACACCATCGCTAAGGAGGAGGAGGCGGTATTATGTTTGTACGTTGCAGAGCACACTGCAATTTCCTCGATTGACCACCTAACGCGAGTATTTAACAGTAGCAACGCTGCTCTGCAAATCAAGCTGGCCCGAACTAAATGCACCAGCATTTTACAAACGTATATAATATATAAAATATAATTCTGATGATGATTTGGATGTGGACCAAATTGTATCATTATTAAATTTCATTTAAAAATAAAATTTTAAGTAAATGCATAATGCAGAAAGGTTTCAGCTATTTTGTAAGCTATTTTAAAATTTGTTTAGCTATTTTCAGCTATTTTTTAGAGACGATTTTGCTATTTTTATGTCTCAAAACCTGGCAACACTGCTCATTACCTCTCTCTCTCTCTTGCTCTTTTCACACATATGTGCATATAGTGCATTACAGCACTTGCAATTTAGTTGCAATCTGTTGTTTACTCATCTAAATTGAATTCAAGCTTATCTCAGGTGCGCGTTTCTAGGCCGCAAATCGATCGCATGGCCAATGGGTACTATATACACTCATATCTATCTATTCGCCGGGTCTCAAGACGTATCCAGTTTGAGTCAGTTCAACCCGCTTCTCGCAGGATGAGGCCCAGTCTGAGTGTGAGTCCGTGTAACTGCGTCAGAGAGCGGCAACCGTAGTGTCATCCAAAAATAGATCACATATCGACGAACCATTAATTCTATTAAAAACAAAACAAACAGTCACAACCAACGCATTCTTCATACATCTCAGATGTGTGTACATATATGTGTGTATATATATTTATAAATACATATAAACCCAAAGGTTGTCCAGAGAGAACATTTCGGACATTGGACAACGGACAAACGGCGAAGACGCCGAATGGGCCAGTCCCCAGACACCTTGTCAACGTTTATCATATGTTCCTGATACCCTACAGCTGATAGAAAGGGGTATGTTGAGTTTGTAAGTATGTTTGCGAGGATATATCAATGGGGTGTGAAATATGCTCATAGATAATAGCGATGAATGCTCATAAGATCATATTAACTAGTTGGCTCTGATGGAG